GCAATCTAAATTAAAAGCTTCCACAATGTATATTGCAACACGATTCTTGCACTGTTAGAGTTGAAAACGTGAATAAACTACATAGAAAATCTAAATAAAAATCGACTGAGTGTCTAAACGACAGTGTTTTGAAAACTCATTTCAGGCATTGAAAGTACTAGTAATGAAATGATAATATGTAATTTACAGGATGCGTATATGACTGAACATTGAAACCATGCAAAAAAAACTTTCATGATTGAGAATTTGTTAGAGATATATGTGGAGTAATGCTTGTCATTGTCCGACGTAATAGAACAAACTAACTCATGCAATTATCCGATTAAAGTAGATAAACGAACCTTCATTGTCTGACAAAAGAAAATAAAGAGGCATTGATCAATGTTTCACGAAAAAAGATAGAGTGACAGCCATTGTGTCTCTACCACATATTCAGAAAAGAGATTGATTTTCTTGCTCTATTGATACTTATTTATGACTTTTTGACATAAAATATTAAAATATATGAAATCAAAGAGTATATTTCTGAAATAGTGTTTAAAAAAAGCGAGCAAATTTATCTGTTAATCTAGGATGACTAATTTCTCTTCAGTCAATAACAAATTCTGTAATGCGGGTAAGTATTTAAAAAACTATTGCCCACTAGGTTTTACAATTGCCCATTGCTGCCACCTACTCAAAATAATTTTGCTGGTAAATTGCCACTTACGTAAAAAATCCTGGCTACGCCACTGCGACTGACTGTACAAATTTTTCTCAGAAATTGTGTGTTATGGTCAAACAATGCATAAACAAGCCAATTTTTTTATTCCTCAAAACAGAAAAGTATATGGGTTTTATGATAAATACTTTTTGAGTTGAGAAGTTTCTATCTATTAATAATAAGTGCATCATATACTATCATTTGATATATATGGATCTTTCAAAAGTAGCAAAAAAAATTTTCGCTCTCGGATATACAAAATTTGTAATTCTCATAAGAGATCGAACATATATATTGAATTTAATAGAGCTCGATACACTCAGAATTTAAATTTATAAGGAACCAAAAAAATAAAAATTGATCTTTGTAATAGTCCATTCTCATACTCGTCTTCAGGGATATGAAAACAAAACTTTTTTTTGGTCATTTTCGAAACATTCATATCAAAGATTGGATCGAATCGTGTTTTACTGGTTCGGTTTGAGTGCATTTTTAAAAAGTCGGCTCAAGGTCGATCTGAATCGATTCGTGATAACTCAATTTGGTTTGTTTTCGATCTCTCATTCATATATATCACGTCATAGGGCATGATAACCTTATGATTAATAGGTAGAAACTTTTTTCTATTCAAAAAGTATTTTTCACAAAACTTATATACTTTTCTACACTTAAGAATCAAAATATTGGTCTCTTTTTAGGCATGAATTAACCGATTTGACCATGAGACAAAATTTTTGAGAAATTTGTGCGGTTAGTCCTCTTTGCTCTCAGGAACAATATAGAAAAATTTTAAATATTATAAAAGTCAAAAATTACAGAAGCTAGTAAAAATACTAAAGTTTTGGGTACGAAGAAAGCTATTGTGAGAATTATGACACATACACGCTTGAAAATCTAACAAAACTCTATTGAAGTAACTTGAAACAAAATTTGATGAAAAAGTGATTTCGATATATATACTATTCGATGCGTTATGAGTTGCTCTACAAAATGGTATAGATGACTTTTTAAATGAAGAGTGAATATTTTATCCGACAGGATTCTTTAATAGCAATAATAAACTTACTTTATCATCGATATCAGTTACGTTCATACAATAAAGAACATCATAACCAAAATAATCAGCCATAACACGTCGAAGAATATCAAATGAAATGTACGATCTTGAAATTAAACAAAAAAAAATTAGATAAAATATATAATTCTTGTTGAATTACCTAGCATGACCCATATGAGATGTATCATAAACAGTTGGTCCACAACTATACCAACGTACTTCATTACCATTTATAGGTACAAACAATTCCTAAAAAAGAAACATCAGTTGAATAGATTTCATAATATAAAAAAGTTCTTATTCTAATTACCTTCTTTTTTGTAAAGCTATTATAAAGACGAAGTCGTGCTTCGGATACCATTTCAGGACATTTCCACATTGTAGATGATGATTTTTGCTGAGTTGTCGAACTCATTTATAACCGATCGTGAATATAAATGAAACCTGTTTAGTTGCAATCTAGAAATATAAAAGAGAAAAAAAAGGTTATGCAATGCTTTTATATCTATGTGTTCATTTCATCATATATTGACGTCAACTAACAAGACATGTTTACACACCCACACTCGCAATCATCATTCAGTGTTCTCATCCAACAAAAAATAACTGACATTTTCTCTCTTCCTTTTTTTTGTATATTGTATTCTATCATTGGTTAAACAAGTCTGTTGTTATTTAAATAGCAAATGTGAGATGTCAGTAGATGACAATAGAAACGTTAAACTAGACAAAACAAAATCGTTAATACATAATCGATTGTTTTTTGGTCAAGTTTATCTACTATTAAAATTTATAGATCACCACCCACAGCTACATTCCCACTGATTGAAAGAAAGAAACATCATTTAATTCATCTGACAGTATATCATAATGATCTACTAGGTAATCCTAATAAACTTGATAGAGAAGAGAATAACAAGTTTTAGAGATATTCTACATTTTGTTGGTTTCAATTAATAAATCTTCAAATCAAATATCTAGAAACTTTTTATTTCTTAAATTCAAATAAAAACAAACAAAACATTTATTATCTTAAAAATTCATTTCTTTGAAACGATGGTGAAAATCGTTTTGATGCTGCATTATATAAATCTTTTTCTGTAAAACTATAATTTTTTTGATCAATTAATTCTTGAAATACTTCCACTTGACAACGTGTATATACATATGTACGATACCAATTTCCTGTACGTTCTAATTTTTTTCCATGTCTATCAAATGTTGTTGGTGGTGGACATCCATAATCCTCAAATTTAGCTTGATATTTTATTGTTGAATCTTTTCGTGTTTTATGTACACGTTCACATACCACACATTCAAATTTATTAATAAAATTACCTCGAATACGATCATTATGTATACCCCATGTACGTGTAGACATTGTTCGAACAAGAAGTGTATCATTTGAAATTATACGATTTAATTTAAAATGACGATAGAAATCATATAAAGTATCATTGATATTTAATTTGTGAATATAATGAGCTAAATCTGCAGGTGTAGCAAAATCGAGAATAGATATTGCTGAATGATTATCAGGAAGAAAATTCTATTCGAAAAAAAGATACATGATAAAAATGAATTCATATTTATATATATATATATATATATGTATACTATACTTGAAATTGATCTGATCCATAGACAATAGGTACAGTTCCAACTTTTAATGGACGCCAAAATTTTTCCGTTATATAATCAGTACAAATAGCATTTTCAAAAGCTAATGCAAATTTATATTTACCAACAAGTTTTAATATTTCATTATGTTCCATTGTTTCAAGTGAATTTCTTAAACTACGAGGACAACAAAAGAAAAAAAATATTCTCTTTTTCTTTTCGAAATAAAATATACTTTTCTGGTAAATCTTTATTATGTAAACAACTTCCATAGGAATCAATTTGAATATAGTTCATTAATTCTTTTATATATAAATCTCGATCTGATGGTGTATTACAATCTGATTGTATATATATAATTGGTGCTAAATTTTCCGTTTTTTGTAATTGTGTTTTTTCTTGTACATCAATAACATATGTTTGATCTAATAAATCATCAATTGATGCTAACCATTGAGTTGTTAATGGTTCATCAGAATGACGTTTAAATGTTGCTGTATGATTAAACATATTCATAATAGATTCAAATGAAAATACATAATTATTTTTTGGTGATTCTTCATGAAGTAATGACCATTGTTCATGTTCATAACGTGGTAATGGTAGATCATATAAACGAAAATCAGTACCATAAAAAAGAAATGCAGAAAATTGTTTATTATCACGATATTTTCTTATATTTGATATAAAACATTGTGTTTGATTACGACATTGTATATAAGAACCTGTATCATACGTAAATGGTGTCCACCAAACAAGAATAGGTACAGTTAAATTTTGAGTTGCAAAATAATTATTATCTTTACTTTCCATATCTATTAAAAAAATTAATTTTAAAAAATTAATAATTGTATTGAACAAGCCTTACAGTCATTCAAAAAAGAACTAGTACGTCGTTCATGAATTTCTGTAAAATAAACAGCACCAATAGGATCGCCATCATCATCAATATATCGCTTAAGGATAAATAAGAAATTATAAGATATTTTCATCTTTTGCATACTTACCCAACGAAAAAAAAAGAAAAAAATTAAAATTAATAATAAAACACACAAAATAGTGCTAAAACTGTAATTTATATACAGAAAACAAAAACAGAATATAAAAATGTGTTTAATTAATTTGAAAAAAACCTATACCAACGAATTTGAAATTTCATTACCACTATTTCAAATCAATGAAAGACATACTTCGGTAGGAGAATAGAGATGTAACTATAATAAAATTTTTCGAATACATATTCTTGAGAATTTAACCAGATGTTTTTAAAAGTATTATCACATGTATATACCTTTATGGTATTTTCTTTTTAGCATAAATTAAGTTCATATCATGTTTATTCAATTTAATAATGAATGAGATGTAAAAATTTTTAATTTTATTTTTCAAGTACTTCTTGTTTTTTCTAAACGAATGAATCAAATCATTGATAATTATCTATTGACATGTAACGTTATCTATCGTTATTTATAGTAGATAGATAATAATATAAACCATTCATATAAAAGTACAACTATTGATCCGTAATATATTTTCAATGTGATTTATTATGTTTTGATTAATTTTATTTTGAATAATTTATATAATTTAATTATTTTGTTTTTATTAAAGATTGTAATCATGTGTCTAGATGATGGTTGTGATGATCTTCTCTGCTGTCTATGTGTTCCTTTGGCTGCTCTCTGCTGTTGTATGTATTTCAAAGAATCTAAAAATAGAACATGAAAAATATCTCTCTTTTTTTTTAATAGGCAAATGCTGTGTAATTATTTTCAATTTGTCTTTTTTTTTTAATTAATTTTTTTCTCCCCTATAGAAAGATATGATGGGTTCAAGTTCCCGTAATAATCAAGTACCAACAACTGTGTATGTTCTTTTTTTTTCTTTCTTTGCATAATTGTGATAACAAAACTCTATTCGTTTTCGTTTTCATTCAGTTATTATCAACAACCAGGTGGTCATGTTCCAACAGCAGGTGTTTATGGTCCACAAGGTTATGGTCCACCTCCTCAAAATCAACCACAATATTATCCTGGAGGTGCTCAACCTTATTATCCACCTCCAAATCAACAACCAGGTTATCCACCATATAATCAAGGAAATTATTATCCACCACAACAAGGTTATGCCGGTCCACCACCGCCTTATATTTATCAACAACCAAATCCTTATAAGTAAAAAAAAATGAGAATTAAACTAAAACGAATGCGTTGCAATGAATATAAACAGATATAGGCATCGAATCACTTTTTTTTTCTCTTATGATTTACCTCTGTCTCTATTATATATACTTCATGAATGAAAATAAACTAAATTACAAATTCTTGTATATTTGTTTTATTTTTTGTTAATTATAGAAATGAAACGAAAATTTATGAATATGAATAATTATGTTTGTGTTTGATATATTGAATAATCCAATGAGATATCTCTATTCATCATCCATGGTATCGTTTGAATAGATAAATTATCAGCACGTTTAGCTCGAAGACGAGCTTGTCGTCGTCGAAAATCACCATGAATAAAAGCATCAAATGCAGCTGGATGTATACCCCAATAATAACCACGACCATTTTCAGATTTTTGTTGTCGTATAAAACATTCATTTAATGATAAGTTATGTCTTATAGAATTTTTCCATGCTTTACTTTGTAATGTTCCAAAATAAGGATATTCATTTATAATCCATTCATAGATTTCAATAAGTAACATTTGATAATTCGATGATGATAATATAGCACGAGCAATTAATGCTACATAAGATTCTTGAGGTTTAGTTAATATTTTAAGATTTTTATGAGAATAAAAATCTTGACTTGGACTAAAATAACTGCTATCTTGTAGATTCATTATTCTAAAAGAAAGAAAAAAACAAGAAACAAAAACTATTAGCGCAATCCTTATGGGATTAAAATGTGAAACACGATGTAGCTACTCTTATTAATCATAGAGAGATTGTTTTATCCTATCTATTTTGAGGCAAACGTCTTCATCATCCTTTTACTTAATCCTCTAGAAATACAATAACGAAGTAGTTCATATATTATACTGAGATGTTATTGATCTATGGTCTCTGATCGTATGTCAACAACTACCATCTGTGATTGTTGTTGACTAGAACCTTCGTGGGAGGAGAAGGACACAGTATCCATTTTCTACATGGCAGGTGAACATGTGACTTTCTTGCTCAGAAATTATTGGATATGATGTAGAAAAAAGAAGTTTTTCGAGAAAATTTTTTTTAATGCTATATATCATTCGATGCTATTTAATGCACTAATTTCGAATACACTATTTTTATTGATTAAATATTTTTACCAAGCGAAAAAAAGCTGGAAAATCAAGGGTTTTTTTGGAAACACATTGTGTAGTTCAGAAATGTTTACGCTAACAGGGATTAGAGACAGTCGATAGAAGAATATTCATTAAAATAAGGCGTGAATTGATTGCTGTACTTACTATATTGTGGTTCACTCGTTTGAAGCGTTCATATATATATATATATCTTCACTTTCTCCCTCTCTCTCTTATGGTATGAATGGTACAAAATTGATTAATGATATCGGTAGAGAAGGTAACAGATCGTGTAACAATTTATGTTGTTCTCGCTTATTACAATATGAATTGTCGATAGGAGGTAAAGTGTCATCGACACGCTGATCACTTGCAAGCTGCCGGTCGATTATGTTTTTTTTTTCAATACTGATTTTAATGTTTATTTTTTTTTGTTTCAGATGGCTTCACGTTTGATAGCTAAAAGTCTCGAATCAACTGTTAAACTCAATGATGGTGTAGTGATTCCATTATTTGGACTTGGAGTGTATCTAATTGATAATAATTGTACATTCAGATCTAATATTAATATAACAAAAAAAAAAATTTGACTTTTTTGTATTCATTAGGTACTGATGTAGTCGCTGCAGCAATTAATCAAGGTTATCGATTAATTGATACAGCTGAATTATATGGTAATGAACATGGTGTTGGTAATGGAATAAAACAAAGTGGAAAAAAACGTGAAGATATTTTCGTTGTTTCAAAATGGTGGCCATCATCGGAAGGAGCAAAAGGTGCTCTTCAAACACTTGATCATTGTTTGAATAGGTTTAAAAAAAGTGGATCCTTTCTTTGTCTCATCTAACATTTTCTCTATAGTCTTCAATCAAATTATATTGATTTATACCTTCTTCATGCACCACAAGGTGGTCATTGTGCTGAAGCATATCGAGCATTACTCGAAGCAAAAAAACAAGGAAAGATTAGGTAAGAAAAATCTTTATTAAAAAAAAAATTTCTTTTTTAATTATTTCACATATTTTTAGATCTGTAGGTGTTTCAAATTTTGGTGTAATTCATTTAGAAGCTCTTGCTAAATTAGGTCTTGAAAAACCATCAGTTAATCAAATTGAACTCCATCCATGGCAACAAAAACAAGATATTGTAAAATATTGTCGTGAACATGATATTACTGTTATGGGTTATTCACCATTGGCAAAAGGTCAAAAAATTCAAGATAAAACTATTAATGAAATTGCAAACAAGTAAATTTCTTTTTTTTCATTTCAACAAGTCAGACCGGGACAAGTACGAACTTTCTCTTGGATATGAGAATTTCAAATAAGATTACTTCGGAACATATGTTCAACGCAGTTACAGCATAATTTTCGAATATAAATGAATGCACTTTTACATTAGTTTGAGGGCGAAAGAAATCAATTGTTTATCTAATCTTTGAAGAATAGAAATAAGTGCTTGATACTACATGAATATAACAAATTTTATCTAAAATGATGAAAATGAATAAGACCGCTTTTCTGCCTTTAAAATTGTCTTTTACAGTGATTGATACTTGAGTATGTTTACTTGGAATATTTAGCAATAAGTATAAAAGCTATCTATGAAATTATATTTAGATTATCGAAAACTCCAGCACAAATATTAATTCGTTGGTCTGTTCAACATGGATATATAACAATTCCTAAGACATCTCAAAAATCAAGACTCCAAACAAATGCAGATGTATTTGATTGGTCAATTCCTGATGAAGATATGAAAGTATTGGTAAGTAACAAATATCAATTGAAATTAATATTATTCTCTATTTATATATATATATATATATATATAGGATGCACTTGGTGATAAACCATGGTCATGTACTTGGAATCCAACAAATAATAGTTTAAGAGAAGCTGGTCTACAATAATTTTATATGAATGATACTTTTTTATTTCTTGAATAAAAACATTATATTTAAATCTTGTCCATCATACTATACGTAGTCCAAACAATTAAAACTACGTCTTAAAATTTGATTTTTTTAAAATCTTTTAAATTTCATGATGATGTGTTCTCTTGTTTTTGTATACTATAGAATGATATGAATGAGTTATATATTTACCATTATCATGCTCTAGTGATTCTCTATCCATACTGTATATCTTAGGGTTTTACCGTTTTGTATGTGCGTATATATAATTTCAAGTATAGTGATGTTCACCATACTATTGTAGGTTTGATTTTCATTTGCACATTCAATATTTGTCTAACATATTTATTATGTAGTATGTATACACGGCACCATGTACTAACATATTCCGGGATAACTTTTTATATTATGCTTCCTTTCTTGTATTATGACAGATAGAGTTCACTTGTTGGTATAGAAACCATAGCCACTATACCAACAAGTGAACTCTATACACACATACCAAACGATAAAAGCCTAAGATATACAGTATAGATAGAGGACCACTAGAGCATTATAATGATTTGTGTATGATCCATTCATATCAGACTATACTATATAAAAAAACAAGAGAATACAACTTCATGAAATTAAAAAATTTTTTTAAAAACCAAATTTTAAGACGTACTTTTAATTGTCAGGACTATGATAATACATGCATTTATTCTAAGAATATGGGGAAGGGGAAGGAAGGTGAAGAAGGGCGATGTTTTTTTATCACTTAGTAGGTCAAAAATACGACACACAACAACAAATGTCCTATTTTTTTTTGCCTTTCAAGGTTAAAAGTACAACAGAATCAATGAAATTAATAGAAATAATTATTGAAAAAAAAAACAATTCTTGTAACTCATGCATTTATAGATAAGAACGAAATATTTTGAGTAAAGGGGTGTGCCGTCAAGGTTAAAAAAAGAATGAGAATAAATCTACGTAAATGATCCTTTATCAAACAATTCAAATAAACTGAAAAGACATATAATTTAACTGGGTCTTGATTACATAATATGAAATTTATGTTAAGAAAATTTCTGTACTTGTTGACTCAGCTGATAATATTGAAAAATAAAATGTATATATAAAGACAAAAATATTGTATATTGAAAAAGTCATTTTTTTTTTACAATGGGTAGTGTAAAACATAATCAATCTTGTGATCAATATAATCATATCAATGGTGATAGTGATTCTAATATCATTAATTGGTATAATAAATTTCATCGAATATGGGAACGTAGTGATTATTTGTTTGGTTTACTTCGTTCAACCGATGATTTTTATCGGCAACCAATTCAATTAAGATTACCATTTATATTTTATCTTGGTCATTTACCATGTTTTTCATGGTTACAATTTCAATATTTAGATGGTGTCAATAAAATCATTGATATTTCTTATGATAAAATTTTTCAACGTGGAGTTGATCCTGATATATTAACAGGTATTGTTAATCATGAACATTCAAGTAGATTTTCAATTAATGATGAACAAGAAAAACAATATTGGCAAACATTTACTGTAGAAAGTGTTAATGAATATAAACTTAAAGTTCGTTTAGAAATTGAAAATGTATTAATAAATGGTAATCTTAATTTTGATGATATACAAACATTGAATATACTAAATGTTGCTTTGGAACATGAAATGATGCATCAAGAAACATTAATGTATTTATATGCTCAATTACCTATTGAAGCATTACGATTAGATATAATGAATGAAAAAGATTTTCATTTTTCTCATGTAACTTTACCATTACCTGATAATAAATGGATAGTATTACCAGGAGGACAAATATCATTAGGTAAACCATATAATGAAGAAGCAACAACATTTTCATTTGGTTGGGATAATGAATTTCCTTGTGAACCAACATATGTATCAAGTTTTGAATTACAATCACATCCAGTTCGTATTGGTGATTTTCTTCAATTTGTTTTAGATAATGGTTATACAACAAAAGAATGGTGGGATCATGATGTGTTTGAATGGATTATTGAATCAAAAATTTCTCATCCAATATCATGGAATTATGATAATTCATATCGTGTAAATTTTATATTACAACGTAATATACCTATTGAATTCGTACTTGATCATCCTGTTATTGTTAGTCAAACTGAAGCTAAAGCTTATTGTCGATGGTTATCAAAAAAAGCTGGTTATACAATTGATTTACCAACTGAAGTTGAATGGGTTTATGCAATGTGGGATTGGTCAAAATGTATACCTATGGCTTTAGCTAATGATAATTATAATGTTAATTTCTGTCATTTACATACAATGCCAATTAATTCATGTACGGATAAAAATTTACAATGGCAAGGATCAGCATTTGAATGGACATCAAGTATATTTCGACCATTTTCTGGTTATCGTGGAAGTTTACCTACTTATCCAGGTTATTCTTCGGACTTTTTTGATGATCATCATTTTGTATTATTGGGTGGTTCATTTGCTACTGATTCAACATTAGTTAGACGAACATTTCGTAATTGGTTTCAAGATAAATACAGATATGTGTTTGCTACATTTAGATGTGTTAAACGAAATGAGCATACGGATCATCCTTTAACTATGGCTGATCGTGAAAGAATCATTAATACATTAAGTAATCCAAATCATCGAACTATTCCATCAGAATATTTTTATGATGCACATGGTTCAGGAATTTATGAACAAATAACTAAACTTGATGAATATTATTTATACAATCAAGAATTAAAATTATTACAACAGCGAGCTATTGATATGAAAAATACTATTCTTGAACATTCTAATCTTCAAAATCGTTCATTATCGTCATCTAAGATTCATATTATTGAACTTGGTTGTGGTGATGGTAGTAAAGTTGAAGCATGGTTATCATCATGGGTGAAATCAAAAGAAAATATACCAATTATTTATCATCCTGTTGATATATCACAACATGCAATTGATTCACTTATTCAACGATTAAATCAAACAATTGGTGAAAATATTGTTACAGAACATGTCAATCCTATATGTTCAACATTTGATCAATTATATACAAAACTTAATATTGATTCATCAGAAATACAAGTTGTTATGTTATTAGGTAGTACTATTGGTAATTTTTCTTCGTTTGATTCTAATCATGTTAAATTTGGTGAAAATTCACCTGTGATGAAAACTTTTCGTTCAATTCGGTCGAATTTAAAAATTGGAGATTGGTTTTTATGTGCATTTGATATTTGTAAAGATACAAAAACAATGATTCAAGCATATAATGATTCAAAGGGTATTACGGCAGCATTCAATTATAATCTTTTACTTCGTCTTAATCGTGAATTAAATCTTAATTTTATAATTACTAATTATCAACATTATGCAACATTTAATCCATTACTTCAACAAATGGAAAGTTGGTTAATTAGTACAAAACAACAAATAATTACGGATGAAAATGGTTTTACTATGGAACTATATCCTTATGAAGCTATACAAACAGAAGTTTCAGCAAAATATACTCAAGAAGATATTCAATTATTAATGAAGAAAAATTCTTTTAAAATTATTGAATGTTATACAACAAATGATCATTATTTACCATATACTCTGTGTATGGCACAGGCAATTTAATAAAATCCAGCACATTCTTCTTATTCTGTTAATAGACTTTTGGGTTCTTTTTTTTCCAGCAAAGATCTTTTTTTCTCTCTATTTTTATTCTTGCAGTCTCATGATTTTTTTTTGGAATATCTTATATATGAGTAAAATAAATTATTATTCACTTATTTCCTAATAATAAATAAACGTGCGGTCTGCAAATTATGGCATAATTTCTATTTCATGTTTTACTCAGCTTACTTTCATTGTTAAGAGTGACTACACAGAAAAAACTGGTCGAGAAAAATATGAAATATTAATTGTGCTGTTATTTATGAATCACCCGATACATTTTATTTTTTATTATTTTCATCTTCAAAAAATAGTAGAAATCAAATGTTATTGATTGCTGAAATTGTTTTAACTATAGAAAAGACAAATCAATCTTGTTGACATGTGAAACTTTGCTTTCCGAGACACAAAAAAAAAAATTCCTTATCGATCTTTAGTGTAACATAGCTATCTACAAGTACTAATTACCTTTTGGAAGATAATAGACATTTGTATTTTCCTCAAAATGATTTCTTTATATGGATGCGTATTTTTAACAATATAGTTCATAGTAAATTTTTTATTTCAACAGATGAATTTTTTTTCGATGAAAAAATATTCTTGACAATTCTTTTTTGTTTTTTGATGAAGTCAAGGTCAATTTTTTATAGCATTGACGTAGCGGATGACTCAAGTGTCAGTTCTACACTAATAGCATGTCGGAAGTTGTGCCATACAAAAAATCTATGTTGAAATAAGACATAACTAAATTGAGATGATTTGGAGGGAGATCTTTTTTTTTTGTCATAATTGTAATAATATATTGAATATTTTTTTTTCCGACAAGATAAGAATAATATTTTTTGTACTAAATAAGTGTCAATGTAGATTTGTATTCAGATTTCTGATGCTCTAGTAACAATGACAACTTTCAAAATCGAATTAAAGGATTAGTTTTGCTTTTCGCTTTATTAGCAAGAGTATTGTCTATCATTTTTCTTTAATTTGCCCCTACGATTTTAATTAACAAAGATTCTTGGTATCAGTTTCAAATCGTAGGGTAAAACGTAATGATAAAAGAAAAGCTGTTTTTTATTTTATAATATACACACCCCCTTTTCAATGTTTTTGATTCGGATAGTAGTTATTTGCATTCTGTTTTTTTTTAAAAATGTTATTGATGCACTTTCCTTTTTTGACTTTTCGACTTTTGTCATCAACGAAAAAAAACAAGGGAAAGTAACACATATGTTCGTTGATTACCAAAAATAAAACGAAGATATTGTAATAAGAGATATCGCCTACGTTTTGTTTTCGTGGATTGAATATTTCTTCTG